CTATCTATCTATCTATCTATCTATCTATCTATCTATCTATCTATCTACAGTATCTATCTATCTTTTATCTATCTGTCTGTCTGTCTCTCTGTCTGTCTATCTGGAAAAAATGTAGGTGTACGATAATCAAGTAATTCATTAGGAAACTAAATTCTTCTTACAAACTGCAAAGGCATGTTAGTCATGCTGGTGCTGTTGTGTGAAATACTGTAATATTCACATAATGCCAACCTAATTTGATGTTTGGCAAACCTTGAAAAAAAATTCTTGCATGTACCTTATTTACCATTACAAAGAGACACAAACTAAACAGAATGGCTCAGACAAATGTAACATGAGGTGAAGCCTCAGTGTGTCATTTGGCCAACAATATCACATTACAGCTAGGCACACATCTAATTTCCGCTGTGTTATTCCTGCTACTTGCTGAGAGCCCTCATTGATTCAATGTAAAGCAAATTCACAGGAGGAGGGTGGACAAACTGCTAACTTGCCTTTTTTGGATCAAACGTACACATGCATAGCGACAGCTAGTATCAATAAAACACTTATTTCAAGTGTGCATAATTAATTTCTATGGCTAACTGTATTTGACATTACATATAGAATAGTTAGTGTGGAACCTGGGCCAAAATGTATAATAAATTATGATTATGAGTAGTATGCCCTTGCAACACACCCATGCAGGGCCCATGTGGGTTTGATATGGGCTGGTGAGGGGGCCCTATCTGGGCAGCCCAGCTGGGTCCCAGATATTTTTGTCCAGGGGACTGTGGGCAAGCCCAGATGGGCTGAGGGTGGGTTTCAATATCTAAAGCGTACATGGCGTACATGGGCTAGCTAGCTAGACCCAGTGTGGGCTGATTATGGGTCACTACTTGGTCCTACACTGCAGGCTAGTAAGGCTAGTAACCATTACTATTACAGGCTAACAATTTATTTAGGGGGCTTCTTATTTTGTTTGTATTACTTTGTCTTTATGTAAAACACACTGAATTGCCCCTTGGTATGAAATGCACTATATAAATAAAAATGCCATCATGTTTTTTATGTGGGTGGCACGGTGGTGTGGTGGTTAGCACCATGGCTTCACAGCAAGGGGGTCCTAGGTTCGAGTCCTACCTAAAACCTTTCTGTGTGGAGTCTGCATGTTCGCCCTGTGTTTGCGTGGGTTCTCCAGCTTTCTCCCACAGTCCAAAAACCTGCATGTTAGGTTGATTAGACATTCCAAATTGCCCTTAGGAGTGGGTGTGCATGGTTGTTTGTCCTTGTGTGTCTCTGGCAGACTGTCCAAGGTGTATCTTGCCCATTGACTACTGGGAGAGGCTCCAGTCACCTGTGACCCCATTAGGGCCGAAGCAGTTACGACAATGGATAGATGGATGTTTTTATGTTTGGACACAAGAGTTCTGGCATCTATTGGGACATCAAGGCCCTTTCTCCTTAAGATCAAGTACAGACAGCGTTGTTTGTGAAATGTTGAATTCTGTGGCCCACTCTGCAAGCCTACATGAACCACCGTCATCACCTTCCAAGTCAGTGTATTCACCTGCTTCAGTACACATTATTCTGATTTAGTGGATCAGTTCAAAGGCTCTGCACAAGCCTGATGATCCCAAATGCATGGTAATCAGGCGTGCTTAAGCTGGGAAACTTTCCAAAACCTGCAGGACAGCGGCTGCCGAGGACCGACTTTAGGCACCCCTGGTGTATATAAAAGAAATATAATAATATAGTGCAAAAAAAATTTAAAAAAATAAAGAAATGTACATATGCAATTGAATTGAGATAAAAAATAAGGAAAATAACTGAACTAGGCACTAATGTTTATCTTGTTATGGGGTTAATGAAAATGACTCAAAGTGGAGCTGTGTTCGTTCACTTTTTTTGTTTGACATCAATTGCAGTGTATCAATATAAAAGTAGAATTCTTGTGTGAAAACAATAAAGTTATGAAGGGACTTGGAAATGTTTCATCTTATGAATATGAGATTTACCCATCAGGAGCATAAGGTTTATTATAAAACATGTTGATCTGTCGTTACGATAAATTTGGATATATCTTTGGGTCTAATTGTGGTAGTCTGTGTAGTCCTATTGTAGATCAAATTCTCCATGTCCATCCAAAACTCAGATGACGTTGGGCAAACACAAAACAAGTGTAAAATTGTCTCTGTCTCATCCCCACAAAATTTTTCATCTGCTTCAGAAAACTGAAGAGGGGGGGGATTGGTGAAATAGCGAATTATGTTACCATCATTTTTCCATTTTCTCTAATAGGTTGGATTTATGTTAATGTGCGTTAAAAGAATTTTACTTTTTAAAAATAAATAAATAAAATAACATAAAAAAGGAGACCTTGCCCAGTGGCTGTTGACTGGCCACTTAAATAGAATAATAAACAAGAAACTGAAACTGCTTCATCCCTTCTTTCCCATTTATTAAACACATGAATAAGCATTTACTGGACGGGGTGAATTAAACACCAGGTGTACTTGATATGTTGCTCTGTGTTTGTGAATTTCATCATAATTTGTATAAAGGTAACTCAGTTTCTTCTTGGATCTTTAGGACTTCTTACTGTCCGGGTCTGGGAGACTTTGTCTCTTTTCTTGTGTAGCCTTTTCATCCACTAGAGGGAATC